TGACTCTTGAATATCCTCAGGTTAGAAATGCTGATTACAAACACAAGCGTGAGCTTTTAAAGATAAGTTTTCCCTGTAATGCTATGATCCTCTGCTGTCACCTCCTCATCAAGAGGAAAAAGGATAAAAACTAACTACTCTATTGTACCTGCTGGTTAGTGGACACAACGACACACAACAGAACTCAACATTTTATACCAGTAGATCACAGATGSTTTAACTTTTGTGGCTTTTTCACGGACTAGTACTAGCAGCTAACGCTAACAACAAAGGCAGTAAGCAGGAAGTGGACGGGAGGAGCCTGGCAAGAATTTTACCAGAAATATGTCATTAATGACCGTGGTATATAGGCTGTTGCACATCAGTGTCAGATTGTTACATATTACGCCAAAATTAATTGAAACAACCCCGTTTCAACATAAACCAAACAGGTTTATGTTTGAATTTTTTGTTTGTTTTGTTCGTAAGTGAAAAAGCAATAAAAATTTAAATTGAAAAATAAATAAATTTGGTAAAATCGATTCACAGGACATGAAATCGATTCTTCCACAGGGTGTCTTGTGTGTGCGTCTGAAACATGTTTCTATATTTTGTCCCTTCTGGCTTGCCATATATTTACAAACAGTTGACGTTCAGCGCTAACGTTAGCTTTCGATAACAAGTTGTCTGGATCAAAACAACAACTACTGAATCACTCACATTATCAGCTGATTCTCACAACTTCAACACAACAGAGACCATGAAGACTTTTGTAAAGATTTTAACTCCTACATGGTGGAGGAAATGAAGTGGAGTTTGACGAGCGGCTCGTTAGGCGCTCAAACCAAACAACTGTATGTAATGTGTTTTTGTGTAGTAGTTGTGTAGTAGTTGTGTAGTAGTGTTACCTCTGAGGGTTCTCACTGTTTATTTGTGTAGTAGTTGTGTAGTAGTGTTACCTCTGAGGGTTCTCACTGTTTAGTTGTGTAGTAGTTGTGTAGTAGTTGTGTTACCTCTGAGGGTTCTCTCCGTTGCCCTTGTCCAGCTTGTGTTTGATCATTTTGTAGCGGCCGAGCTTCAGAGACGGGCGACTGATGTACATCCCAGCCAGAGACACTCTGAGAACACAACCAGGAAGACACGGGTTCAGTTTGAACCGGACCAGAACCATGGACCAGAACCTCTGACCCGGACCTCAGACCCGGTCTCACCTGACTCCGATGTCGTCATCCTCGCCCCCCCAGCCCCAGTAGTTGTTGGGGAAGCCGTTCATCTTCAGGTAGTGCAGTGGAGACAGAGCCGACACCCCCCCGAAGTACATCTTGTACGGGAGCCTGGAGGGGACAGAACCAGAGGGTTAGTCCAGTCTTTGGGCCCGCCCAGCAGAACCGACCCCCCCACGGTGTCGTACTTGTATCCGAACTTGTCCATGGCCACGGCGGCGTGTTTGGGGTTGGTGTCGCAGGTGTACAGGTTGCGGTCGTCCTCGGGGATCAGGTCCACGTCGTGGAAGTACAGGCAGTCCCAGTCCTCCTCCCTCATGGCCTCCCGGAACCCCACGTTCATCAGCTTGGCCCGGTTGAAGGTGTAGCTTCCAGCCTGCGGGTCGGGTCCAAGAACCACACAGAAACAGAACCTCAGAGTCCGAAATAACGTTTAAACTTTGGATCAATGATGCAGCCTAGCTGGGGTCAGTCAGGTGGTGTCGAAGGCGGAGCCATCTGTCGAAGGCGGAGCCATCTCCACCAGAGGGCAGGAAGTGACACGTCTGTGTCTATAAACTCCTGTAGTCTGTTGTATGGATTTAGATCCTATTTCAGGATATATAACAACAATTTGTTCACTAATAAGTCAGACATGACTCGTATGATGAAGATGAATGAGTTTTCAACAGATCCTAAAGATTTGCTGAGGCTGTCAGTACCACACACGTCTTACATCACCAGGTGCCAAATAATAACCAGCAAAAGTTTATCTGATGAATAATTCCACACATTCTGCCCAACCCTACAACAACATATGATAACACTGATTATCACACAAAGATGAAAAATGTAGAAAGCTCACAGAACAACAACGTAAAAAGTGGATTTTAAAGCGTCTGCAGTCAGGAGGAGCAGGATGTGTCTGCAGGCAGCTGCCACTACATCAGAGGTATGTTAGCTGCTAACTTGTTTTAGACGTTATGTTTATAATGATTGTTTATTTAGTTGTGAGTATTAAGTTACTGGTAGTTTAATGTGGACCTCATCTGGACTTTAGGCTGCCCTAGTTCTGTGTCATTAGCTGCTGGATGTGTGTTGACGTTAGCCTCTACTGCTAGCATGATCGTAACATATAAAACTGTATCAGAACAACCACTCACCCTGGCAAAAAACAAACATCTTGGAGCTGTTTGGTACTGAGGTTGACACTAAAAATAACTAAACTTCACCCCAACTATGAAATGTATTTATACAAGTAAAATAAATGTAATAAATTTCAGATCTCATTCCTCACTTCTGATCTCCTGTCTCTCCATCGCTGCCGAACTTCATTCAACTTTCGTCTCTTTTTATTTTCATCCTCCTGTAGATTTTTTGCTGCTTGTCTAATATTTTCAGGCTTCAGTCAGAAAGGAGTTTAGGGGGTTTGTGTTTGTTCGGCGGGGTGGGGGTGACACCAGAGGGTGGAATCAGGTGTTTTTCCCCCATGAATCAGGCCTCTTTTACATCCTCCTGCTGCAACATGCTTCAAATATGACATAAAAAGGGGTGATTCTTTTAGGGCTGTAAAATAATTAATATTTTTTAATCTGATTAATCTCAAAGTAGCTGTGAATTAATCACAATTAATTTTAAATTTAATACACATTTCTATTGCATATTGATAAATTACTTGAGTTATTAGTTTTTAATGTTTTTATTTAGAAAACAATATGGATGCTTAGATGATTTTTTGAATATAAAACAGGACCTAAAAAATGCTCCAAACATATTTGAGTCAGTTAAATTTTGTGCAGAATAATGAGGTTAAATCAAGAATTCAAGGATTTTCATTCCAAATGAAGTACTACATGAGGAATGAAAGATACATACTGAGGTCACAGCTGTCAGCAAAACATACATAAATAAATAAAATAAGCCATAAGAAGACAAAAAGAAAAAAAAACTGTACATAATGTGTTACACATGGAGTTTTTTTTTTAATTTATTTAACCTTTATTTCTCCAGGTAAACTGTTTGAGAACCACTTCTCATTTACAAACATGACCTGACATGATGCACTGAGTGCATTTAATCACGATTAAATTTTTAATCTATGCCCATGCAGCACTAAAATTAATCAGTTAACTCGATTAATTTTACAGCCCTAGTTTTTTTATTATATAATTTATTCAGTGTATAATTATTTATTATTAATTCAGTTAGAATGATTGCAGCACTTATAAACTACACAAGATATAAACTTTTTTTCAGGCAGCAGATCCTTCACTTTTTCACTTCCTGCCCTCCAGCTGGACTTGGAGCTGTGGTGGTTCTGCATCGTGACGTCATGTGAAACCCTCTTATTATTATTAATTATTTAATTAAAGGTTCTGCTCACTTCCTGTGATACTGGACTCTCCAGACGGGTCAGGTGTCAGAAACTTATAAACCATTAGTGTACAGGAAGTGGCGATCCAGCAGGGGGCGCTGTGAGCCCGTCCAGAACTCGGGCCTTTAAACCAACCTGTTTTCAACAGTTCTGATGAGAGTGGGTCGTGGAACACCGGACCTGGTTCTGAGCCTCACCTGGTGGATGACGTAGATGCCATAGCTAAGCTGCTGCCGCTGCAGGAAGGGGTGCAGGTAGTAGAGCAGGAACTTCAGGTGGTGCTCCCTGTTCCTGTGGGGGATGATGATGGCCGTCTTGTGCTGGGCCTCACAGTCCGGCGGCCTGTAGCGGCCCCCCCGGACCACCAGCGGGTTCTTCCTCTGGACCTGGGCCAGGGTGAGGCCCGACGGGAAGCTGACGTGGATGGGTCCGCCTGCGGGGACAAATTAAACCTGTCGTTAGCAGCAGGAAGCAGCGCGGCTAATGGAGCAGGCAAACGCTGCGGTCACACAGGCAGAACCCATTTGAATTCAGAACCAGAGTCCAGTTTCCATCAGGCTCCGAGACACACTCACACACAGACACGCTCACACACAGACACACACACACACACACAGACACAGACACACAAACACACACACAGCTCGTGTTTAATGTTCAGGATCTACAGCGTTTTCAGCTGGTTTCTCTTCACTTCCTGCTGCTTCAGGGTTTGTAAAGCTCCACTCAGGAGCAGCAGGTAATTACCAGAACCAGTCAGCAGAACCCTTTCTCTAACAGAACCGGAGGCAGGGAGCGGGTCCACACATATCATAAAGCTTCACTTCCTGCAGCTGAAGTTCGGCTCAGAAGCAACAAAATCTGACTTTTTATATTTATCTTTAATATCATTATAACTGCTTTAAAGTGTCTGTGACATGCATATCCTTCAAAAACAAAAAGTCAAAGAAAACATCTTTATATTTAAGAAAGTTGGAATAATACACACAATTTAACCCAGTTTGTCCTTTAAAGCTGCTGTATGTACAGTGGTTTGCAAAAGTATTCATACCCCTTGAACTTTTCCATATTTTGTCACATTACAACCACA